TTCCTCACATCAATGAAGATGCCATTGCTTGGCTAGATGACTATGCACGTGCTAAAATAATTCTAAAATTACAGAGGAAATATGTCACAGAACTGGTATAAACATACACAAAAGAAATAAATCCTAAAGTTCAAGCTTGCTAAACTTTTTCTTCTTATGTCTTTTAACAGACTGTCAACATCACGAAATAATTTTAACAATGGCCGTGCATAAATGAAATACAGTACTGAGCAAAGTACTACATAATAAAGTAGCAGCAACACTACAAAAAGAATTCTTGAAACAAAGCAGAATGATTTGTATTTATTAACTGCTAATCATTTCTAGTGCAAGTGTTTCACAACAAAGCTGGCAAAAAAGTTCCTTTGCTACAAGGGTTTAAGGGAGATTAAGAATAGGAGGTATGCTATTTTCAACATTACTGATAAGAGAAATTAGAACACTTACATTACTTGACTTAAGTTCCATTGTTTTTTTCACAGGGTCAACTACAGAGTGTTCCTGAACATATGTCTTTGTTCTGCAAGCACCGATGAGCTACAAGCAAGACATTCAAGCTTATACATGCAAACATACTGCAATAATTATTCTGAAAAGTTTATTTATTTTTTCTTTCATTTCAACACACTATGAAATATTCCAAATAAACATTACTATACTGAACAGAGAGTAAGAAATGCAGCTAGTCTAAAATGAGTATGTATTAATTTTCTGCTTAAAACAATAGGTTGAATTTAATTCAATTTCTTTAAAAGGACATCATCTCCTAGAAATTTCTATATTTGCTACTTAAGGATAATATGTTTTTTATTTAAAAGTAACAATTAGTAACAACAACAAAATAGAAGAATGCTATTCTCTCATCTAGGGGTATGTCTAGACTACATGCCTCTGGCGACAGAGGCATGTAGATTAGACTACCTGACATAGTAAAATGAAGCGGCGATTTAAATAATCTCCGCTTCATTTAAATTTACATGGCTGCCGCGCTGAGCCGACAAACAGCTGATCAGCTGGTATTTGTCGACCACTCAGGTAAACCTCATCCCAGGAGGCATACCTGGGTGGTGGACAAACACCTTTGATGTCGACACCCACGCGTCCAGACTATCGCGCTGAGCCGACAAACAAATGATCAGCTGTTTGTCGGCTCAGTGCGGCAGCCATGTAAATTTAAATGAAGCGGCGATTATTTAAATCGCCGCTTCATTTTACTACGTCAGGTAGCCTAATCTACATGCCTCTGTCGCCAGAAGCATGTAGTCTAGACGTACCCTAGATGAGACATAAGTGGCATGGTTTCTCAAGCCCAACTTTATTCTTCCAGAACATAGAGTTGGAGTACTAGCTACTTAAAGGAAATATTACTTCCTCTTTACTCCCACCTTTGTCAGTTGTGTCAGAATCAATTCAGGGCAGGAACTGTTTCTCACAGGCTGTGTCTAGACTGGCCAGTTTTTCCAGAAAATCAGCCACTTTTCCGGAAAAACTTGCCAGCTGTCTACACTGGCTGCTTGTATGACTTCCTACTGTAAGAAATCAGTGCTTCTTGTGGAAATACTATGCTGCTCCCGTTCAGGCAAAAGTCGCTTTTGCGCAAAAAATGTTTTCCACAAAAAAGCCCCGATCACGAAAATGGCGATCGGGGCTTTTTTGCGGAAAAGGGAGTCTAGATTTTGCAGAAAAGCGTCCGTGCCAATCTAGATGCTCTGTTCCGAAAATGCTTTTAACGGAAAACTTTTCCGTTAAAAGCATTTCTGGAAAATCATGCCAATCTAGATGCAGCCACAATGTATATGTAAACTGCCTTACAATAATAGAAACCAATCTTTATTAGGACCTCTATGGGGTATTTAATACCAATAATAAATAATGAAGCATGGCTCTTCCTCCATGCTAATAAAGCAACTCTGATCATGAGGACCTGTCAAGCACCAAAGTATTACTATGAAATTGATTTTTCAATGGTCAAAGCTCAGTACAAGAACATCAGTGTATCGGTCAATTCAATAGAAACTTGCCATTTTAAGGAATAAGAAACCTTAAAAGAAAAGCAGTTAATCAGATTACGGCAGCTGCTTTTTAAGTAACCTAGCAATAATGTACAAGAGTTGCTGCTGCAAGAAAATACATGAAAGACCATACTGGGCTTTACCCCCACTTGCCTACATAAAGAACTAGGGATGTTAACTAGTAATCCTGCAAGCATCATCCATTACCAGATAGGCTGGAGCAGACTCCCCTTCCCCCTGCCTATGGGATCCTGGTTAACCAGAATGTTTAACATTCTATTTAAAAGGTTAACTTTTCAACTGGGATTTTACATCCCTAGCAGGAACTAGACAAGAACAGTTTCTGTACTTTAGGGTGGGTAAAGTTACTGCCCTCTCCTAGTGCCACAAGGAGGCAAATAATTTTGAAGGCGGGATGGTGACACACACAATCCTCCAGACCCTGTCTTGTCCCAAGAAGAGCTGGACTGTAAATCATATACAGGCAGTACCCGAGTTACGCGGATCCGACTTATGTTACCAACGTGGCTTTTCTCACCCCAGAGGACGCGAGTGGTGGGACGCCCAGATGCGCCGCGGTCCCACCGCCCGCGTCCTCCGGGGCGAGAAAAGCCCCCCCCCCCCCCCACAA